TCTGACTGCAGCCCGTCTGCCTGTGGTGAGGTTGTAGCCAGAGGTGGAACAGCTCCTGTCTCAGAGTCCCTCATCCTCAGCATCTGGGCACACATGGACCTTGAGCAGGGCTCTCTGTGCTCTTTGGCTCTCTCTGCTGGCTGCAGAGCACCCCCATCCTGGGCTTGTGCTCGGCACTGTCCCCCCAATGGGGACAGTGCTCTGGGGAGCACGCTGCTGTGGGGACCAGACACAGGGTGAGGAATATTGTGTTGGAAGAATCACAAACTCTGCCAGGCACAAGAAGTAAAGCAGGAAAAAAGAGCTGCCAGAAAAGAATTACAAAAGAGCTTTGCAAATGTGACAGCCGATTTCCAGAGGGATCCTTTTTCTTCCTCAGTCACGAGCAAAAGGAGAGGTTTTCCTTGAAGGCAGAGTACAGAGCTCTGTGTAAGGGAGCAAATGATCTACCTCGGGAGAGCAGCACCAGGCTGATTGCCGAGCTGGGAGGGAATCACTGCCTTGGGCTCTGTGCCTGGGACATCTCCTAACAGGGGTTGTGGGATGAGTATGGAGGGCCCGGAGCATCTCTGAGCTCTCCTCCTGGGAATGCCTTTCCAGGGCTGGAGGCCAGAACACTTCATCCTTCTGCACCACAGAGCACAGCAGGCTGCTGCCTGCAAGAGCCAGCTGCAAGGGAGGGGGAGGCAAGCAGTGGAGAGCATCAGGAGGGATGCTCTGTTGCTGTATGTGAGACCAATTCTCTCTCTCTCTTGTCCAGCAGCCAGTCTAGGTGATAAACAAAGCCTGGGTTTGCATTATTTCATGTTTTCTCTGGGAATATCTTTGTAGAAAATACTAGGGACCTTCATTAAATTAATTTTCATAATTGAATGACCAGGTTTGTTTCTTTATCAATGATGCTGGGAGTGATGGTTCATGGCACAAACTGGCATTTTTACTATACATATGAAGAAAACTGAACTTGTGGGTGTTTTTTTGTGACTTTTAAATTTTTTTTCTTGTATTTTACAAGTTGTTTATGGGGTAAGTATTCTTAGACTGTGATACAAAAAGTTTTCTGAGGTACCCAGTGTCTGGCCAAACAGCTATTCTCAGAAGTGTAATTGGGTTTTGAAAAAAACCCAACAAATAACTCCCTAATAAAATAAAGACAAAGGTGAAGAAAAAAGGAATAAAAGTGTTTTTATTGCATTATTCTGGTGATAAGCTAACAAAGAGTCAGAAGGTGTTCAGTGAGCAAAGAGTACAGTGTGTTCCTTTATCATAATAACTTTTATTGCCTAGGTATATCTTCTCTCACCCTGCTCAATAGCCCTCCTGCTGAGAATTCGGACTCTTGCAGCAGTGAGTGCTTTTCTCCAAGCACCTGGTGCTCAGCCATGTGGGGGCTGGGGGCAGATCTGGTGCTCCTCAGAGATGCTGGGAGTTGGGTGGGATGAAAGGAAACTTTCCTGTGGTGCAAGAAGAGCTCTGGGAATCAGAGATGCTCCCGGTAGCTGCAATCAGCTGGTGCAATTCCTGTGAGCAGCCCCAGAGGCAGAGTAAAGGCAAAGGCACCACAGAGCATCTTATGGGCTCCTCTGGGGGGAGGAGACTTGTGCCCATGGGTCCAAGTTCTTGGTCTTTTCTGCAGAGCTAAAAGGAGTTAGATGGTGCCAGAGTGGACTCAGGGTATGAAATCTGGGTCCCACAGGTTCTTCCTCTGCAGCACAGCTAGGATCACTTCAAGCTATATGTCCCCAACGAGCCTTCTGGACCAAAGAAGACTTCTCTTTTTTACCATTTAGAACTGCACCTAAAAAATAATCTTGGCCTGCTTGCTAGATCAAGAGACACCCCCCAGCATCATTGGAGACTTTGCCTTTGGGGATGGTTGAGAAGCTCCTGACTGACTTCCCACAGGTGATGTGTGTTTCCAGGTCTTATACAATTTTTCTGGTTTTCATTAAGGGCAGCTCTTCATGCAGCAGTTTCAAGCCCTTTTATGTTGTTCCTTAGGGACATTTCTCTGCATTGCCTCAGATGAATCACCTGCTGAAGGCACCTGCTGGAGGGGCATTACTGGGGTCTGCCCGTGGCACCAAATGCAAGAGGGGATCCATCTGAGTGTGGATCACCACAGCCCCTAACCTCTCCCAGACCCATGCTGAGGCTGCCCTCCATGGAGCCTCCTCTCTGACCTGCAGAGAAAGTGGCTTGAGAACCTGTCCCAGAACTGCTCTGCTCTTGGCAGCTCTGGCCTGTGTGCTGTACTTTGTGCTCATCCAGACTCAGCCTTGCCCAGCAGGAGTGTTGCCAGCATGGAGCACTGTTCCATGCTCCGTGTCTAGGGATTGAATATACTTATTTAGTCTCCTTAGCTGTGTGCTCATCCAGATTCAGCCTTGCCCAGCAGGAGTGTTCCCAGCATGGAGCACTGTTCCATGCTCCGTGTCTAGGGATTGAATATACTTATTTAGTCTCCTTAGCCCATAACTCCCACATATCAAAAGGGAAAAATAAATATTCCTTTTTCTTTCTAGTCTTTTTAGCTCAGCATGGCAAAGCCATCTCCTGCATTGTGCTTGTATAGCTCCCAGCACCTGGGATTGCTGGCACTGCCACAGTGCAATTACATGTGGTGATACTGCATTTAATGCCTTGGAAGTCAGCTCCCCAGACTCCAGGAACTCCTGAGCTGACACAAGGAGCAGTTTGTCTTTCTGTCTCTGAACTGGGGACATGCCTTCACCAGTACATCTTCATTAAGCTTCCCAGAAGCTGCCATGTCATGCCATCAGCTGTATTGAAACAGGCTGGTGTAGCTTATGAATCACTGTCTTTAATTCCTGCTTGTGACTGGGGATCATCCTCAACCCTTTTTGGGATGAGTTTCACTCCAGCAATTGGCAGGATTAAACTCCCTTCAGAAGCATGGTTGAGCATTATGAACAAGGGGAAAAATCTCAGGTGAGTAGTGGTCTATTTATATCCCATGAAAGATGGACTCTGTGCATAAGAATACTCAAGCCCCTGGCCCCTCCGCCCCCCTCCTGTTCCTCTAGCTGCTCTCTTGAGGCTCAGCACTGAAAAATTAGTTTCTTCTTGAAAGCTAAAAGGAACCTCAGTCAACACAAGAGTGAACAGGCAGGGGTGGGGAGGTCTCTGCTTTACTGAATCCCCTTAAATCTGCTCTGTTGATACTACACAGCAGTGAAGAAATCAGATGTGAGCTGGGACATTTACTGCCTCCTCACAGAGTCTGTCTCCACATTTTCAAGCAGGGTCCTCTTCTTACCCTGCCTGTTTTTTGAGGCTGATTACTGATTTAAATTACCTGCACTTCTCAAATGCCTTTTTGGAGGCTTTTCCCTGCAGTGCAGCTCTGTCCACCCCACAGCAGTGGGTTAATCCTGCACCCTCCACAGCTGCACCAGCTGCAGAAATCCAGGGCTCAAAGAGGGTGAGGCTGTCTCCCTGTTCCCACAAAGTGCTGTGAGAACCACTGTGCCCTGCCCAGGCTGCACTGCACCCAGCTGTGGGAAAGAGGGCAGAGCCCCTAACCCCAAGGCTGCTGCATGTGGAGCAAGCATTTCCCCAGACCACCCCACAAAACCTATCCCACTTCCAAAGAAGGAGGAGAGGAGCTGGGGGCACACAGGATTGTGTCGCAGCAAGGCTGCTGCAGCAGGTGCAGGATCCAGCTGGGCCAGCAGCAGTCCTTAGCCCTGCCTGCAGCACAGGCTAAGCCACGACTGCCCTGCTCCAGGGAGGGAGGGCAGAATCCAGCTCTGCCTCTGCCCCCCTCAGAGGGGCTGATATCAGCATCTCCCCTCCCTGGGCATGTCCCTACTGCCTCTGCCTGTTGCCTTTGTTTGTGGAGGAGCCCACTGAGCTCTGTAGCAGGGCTGGGATTTCACACTTGGCAATGACAAGGGATTCACCTTCCTCTCAGCCCGTATCCAACAGCCCCCTGCCTACAGGGAAAGGAGGCGCAGAGCAAGAGTGAAAGCAATGGTCCATGAGCCATCATGAATGATGCCCCACAGAGAGCTATGCTCAGCACAGACCAGAGGCAGCTTAACAAGCCTTCAGCTGGGGAATCCACCTTCACTGGAGTCATGCTGAGCTCTCTGCCCATGAACATCTCCGAAATCCCCCGCTTTTCACCCTTCTTTCATATATGATGTCTACAAAATACTTATTTTTAATCCTGAATGATGAATTTCTCATCAAAGTAGCACCTATCCCCTGTGCAGCATGTTTGCTCTACAGCTCCAATTTATCTGCGAGTGTGTGGCACAAACCAGCCCGGCCAGAAAGCTGAGACTTTGCAAAAGCATGAAAAATTTGTCTTCCATTGAGAAAATAATGTTTTTCTCACAATGCTATCTCCTACCCTGCTGAACCCTTCGATATTGCCTTTCAAGATGATGAGGTGGGTAGAAAAACTGCTGTGACCAGTTCATTAGCTGGAGAGGAACTGGTGTCATGGGGTTAACATCTCAGCTTCACAGGGATGCGAAACCACCCCCTGCACAGCAGAACAAAGGAAAATTTTCTGAAGGAATCCCAGGAACAGTGTTTGTCAGGAATGTTGCAAGGAGTAAAATATGTCAGGTGAGGAAACCTTTTAGTGCCTGTGGCTGAGGAGGGAATGAGATGTGTGGTGTAAACTTGTACCATGAACTACTTTTATCATCCCCATCACTTGAAATACACAGCTGAGATTTTTACTGATCCCTCTAGTGACGGGTGTAAATCCTCCGGACTGGCTTGAAGTGCCAAGCACTGTGGGCTTGATTCAGCCACAACTGCAGGGATTTGATATCTAAAATATCACTGTGGCTTTAGTTCTTTTATAAGACCACAGAAAAAATATCACATTATGACACACCGTGTGTGTGTGCGTACATGTGGATGTGGATGGTGTTGGCTGCCCTGAGACAGGCAGCGTTCTGAAGATGGGCAGCCTGAGAGGTAACCTCAGTTTTCTCATTGACCACCGAGCCTCAGCATCACCGTTTGAAACATAAATTTTATTGCAACAGAGAATTAAAAATAGTACATTTGAAAGAGTTGCAGAGTGCATGTCATCAAAGAACTAGTCAGAAATCACAACTCAAGCAAATCATGTACAATTGGAACAGAAAGTTTTATTAAAACAAGTGGAAATCAAACTCAAATTTTCCTTCTTTGTTTAATTTCACCATAACTGTGGATTGTGTATTTACAGTCTTCGCCTCTTGTGGTGAAGGTTCTGCTCAGGGCAGGGCAGGGATGGATGGGGAGGAGAGGTGGGTTTCAAAAGCTAACAGGATGTGAAAGTTTTCCAGAAGAAGTTCTTGCAGCCTGCTTTGCGTTCCCGGGGTGCCAGAGCGGGATTTGAGTTAGCCGAGCGCTCCAGCTCCAGTCTCACTTCATCCTGCTCAGCCCCTCGGGACAAGTCCTCAGACTCCAGGGCTTCATTTTCTGTCTGACTTGGCTCTGAAAGCAGTTCTGCCAAAAAGTACTTGGCCAGTTCCTTGGGGACAAAAGACAGAAAGGGAAAAAGAGATAGAGAGACCACAATTACTCCTTGATTTTTGTGGGCTCACCACTCTGTTCGTCTAAGACTTCTCCATGACCAGATTACAGACATTCAGGATGCAGGAGGAGAAGAGGAGCCCTGGCTTTCCAAAGAGCCCAGCCTGACAGCTGCTATGCAGCAGTTGTGTCTACGGCATCTACCTGGTGTGGGGAACAGACTGCTGTCCTGTCCATGACAGGGAATGAACTCGTCTTTACCTCCTCTTCCCACGGCTCCAGCACTCAGCGAGGATGCCATGAGCCTGCTGCTAAAGTGACACGAGAAAGGTCTTTGGGGGAGCTGGCAGGGGAGGTTGAATTGGTCACCATCTCATTGGGACTAATTTTTCTTCTAGTCCCTCCAAGCCTCGGCTGTCACCCAGCATGGATGAGGCCATTGTTCTGTGCTCTGGGGAAGCTGCCTTCAATCTGCGACCCGGAGAAAGCCTTGGGAGCTTCTCCAGGAGCTCTGCCCTGTGCTCCAGCAGTGCCTGCTCCTTACTGCCCACCAGCACCCAGCTGGACTGTCTCACCTCCCAGCACCAGCTGCCCAACCTGTCGATGGCTCAGCCCCGGCGGGGAACCGGGGTCTCTGCGGGGAAAGGGGGGTCTGCAGCAAGGCGTCTGAAACAGGGACATTGGGGAAGCCTGGCGGGGAACGGGAGGGGTCTGCAGCAGGGGTGCGGGGGCTGTGACAGGGAGCGGAGGTTCTGCAGCGGGGGATCGGGGTGTCTGTAGGAGCGGGAGCCTGCAGCGCGGCCGTCGGGGCGCCCGAGGGGTACCCGCGGTGCCCGCGCCGTCGCGGGGCTCTCACCTGCTTCCCGGCGGCGGCGGCCAGCGACTTCTGCAGGAACTGCCGGAGCCGCGGGTCCGAGGGGGCGGCCGAGACGGTGCCGAGGGCCAGGGCGATGGAGAGCAGGGCCAGGGCGCACTGGAGGCGGCACGACAGCATCTCGCCGGCGGGTCGGGCGCGGGAGGCGGCGGCGGGAGGCGCTGGCGGCTCCGCTGCTGCTCGGCTCCGGCGTTGGGGATCTCCTCGCCGCCCGCCGCCTTTATAAACCCTTCTCCTGACGTCAAGGCGGGGGCGCCCCCCTCGCCCCACGCCGCCGGGGGTGGGTCTCTGGGACGGGGGGGGAACGGGTCCGGGGATGCTCCGCTCTGCCCGGCGCCGGCCAAGCCTCCGCGGTTCCCCCTGAGCTCCCCTCCCCTCTGTCCGCCCCCAGTCCCCGTCCCCAAATCACCGCCCTTCCAGAGCTCCCGACCCTGCCCGTCCGCTCCCTCCTCCCCGGAGCCCACCGGAGCGGCCGTGGGGGTCCCGGCTGTCACCGCCCACCCGCGGCTCTGACCCAGTGCCGGAGGGTGAAGCCCCCCAGCAGCCGCTCTGCCAAAGCCCCTCGCCCTGGAGCCGGGTCTCGCCCCGTCGGTGAGGAGCGGCTCCAGAACCCGGGGAGCTGCAAAGGGTCCCCTGAAGGGCGATTGCCTCCGGCTCCTGCAGAGGGTGGGGGTGCTGAGGTGCCCTTGGGGGTCCTTTTGCCGCCCCTGCCCCTGCGGGTCTCTCCGGCGCCGGTCCGTTCCCAGGCTCCTTCCCGCGGGCAGCTCCGGAGGCAGCGGGAGCCTCCGGGGACAGTGCCCCGGCTCCTGCCGTGGCTCTGCAGCTCCGGGAAGCGATGACAAATCTGTGCCTGGGTCGGGGCGTGCTGGACCCTTGTCTCCATCTCAGGGTCGCTGGTCTTGCTGGTCCCTTGGCATGCACCTATCCCACAGGGGTGGTGGGGCAGTCTCTCCCACTCCTCCAGCCTCTCCTGCTTCAAACCCCCTGAAGGATCAGCCTCCTCATCTGTCTCCCAGCTGGCAGGAGCAGAGGAGGATGTGCTGAAAAGGGCCTCTGTTGTCAAAAAAGGGCTATAAGAATCTCTTCTATCTCAATCTCCAGCTGAGGAAAGTCAAAGACTTGAGGGGACAAGAATTCAAGTACTGCGAAAATGTCTCCAGAAGCCTTCAAAATTTTGTTTTATGATGAATTAATGTGCATCCCCTGCTCCGCTTTCAACCCTGGTGCTGCTGTCTGGGTTTGTTGAATCTGACCAGGGAGTGTGAAGCATGAAACAAAGTGTTCCTGCTCTGTATCACAGTCCAACATGATGAATTGGAGCTGGTTGCTGGTTCCAGACCAGGCAGAGCTTGGGGCTGCACTGTTACTGCCCTCCCTGGATGGTGCCTCCCTTCCTTTGTGCAGTGCAGCTCTGCAGCCTCACATAGCTTTCATCCTCTTCATCTTTCCCAAATTGTGGAGCAAAATTAATGAAAATCATGAGATAATAAGCCTTCATTTGTAGCCCATGAGACCCCGAGGGTTGGGTATATTTGTGCTGTATTTATAGCCAGTTTTCCCCCATCTACCTGACGTGAGCAAGGCCAAGCTCTGTGTTCCTGGGACCCTGTCTGTCTTCTAGCACTGGTCTTGCTCTGGGGAAACAGGTGGAGAAGAATCAGCCCCTGCTCTGGCTTAGACAAATTTTCTTGCTTTGGGAACAGGGCACAGTCTCCTACCAAGGCCAAAATAAATGACTAGACCCAAAAGAGCAGATTGTCTCTAAAGGTTGTGACTGTCAGAGCTTTTCTCTCCACCAAGATCCTGTGTTAGCAGCTGGACCAGCATCTCTCTCCTCCTGTGGGCAAAGAAGCAGAGCCAGTCCTGGCTGTGGCAAATGGCCAAAGCAGCAGATGCCAGGGCACCAAACCTATCCTGGAACTCTTGCCTGCTGTCAAGAGAGGATTCCTAGGAAAGAATTCTCTCAGCAACAAAAAATTTGCCACTTTTCTAAGTGCACCAATAGCAACAAGCTGGGCTCTCTCATTCTACTTGCACTGAGAATAGAATTGTTTTGTAGCCCCCAGGCTCTCCTGTTTGGCACAGCCCAGTCCAGCTCAGCTGTGCCATGCTGCAGTGCAAGCCTGGGCCAGCTTTGCAGAAGGCTCCAGCTCCCCACCAGCTCATCCCAGCTCCCACAGCCCAGGGCAGTGCAGCCTGCTTGGGTTCCACATTGGAGAGGAGCAGAGTCGGGAACGGGAGACAACACTGGGTTATTTCAGACTCCCCTGTGGCGTACTGGAAGCTGTTATCTAACATCCCCTGCCACTGCACAGCAGGCAGCTCTCCAGGCTGGCACTCCTTCTGTTGTTCAGCGTGTCACCCCAAGGGGATGGGGACACTGGGAACCCCCATCATGCCAGAGTTGCCATCCTCCTTTGGCTTCCACAGTGATGGATCTTCTCTGAAGTGCCAGAAGGATCAGTTCAGCACCTGTATTTCTTAGAGCACTGCAATGGGCGGGAGTGCAGCCTTGGACTACTGGATAGGTTGGAGAGCTGTGCTACATTTCATCACCCTTTGGACCCATCTGGACACCAACATGGAGATGAGAACTGTAGGATCTGGCACAGTGCAGGAGCAACCTCATTGATGAGTTCCCCTCTTTCTCATTTCCTGATAACTTCCTGTGGGGCCAGCAGGACTTAGACACACCTAATGGGATTTTGCAGAGTTGCATAGCTCAGTTGGAGATGGATGGGTTCCAGATGCACTGGCAGGGATGGTTTCAGAAAGCTGGTATGGTCCTGCTGCCATCAAATGGGGGAAGATACCAGACTTGATTCCTAAGGGGTTTTGAGAGGCCGTTCTTGATGTCCTCCCCAAACCCAAGCTGCTCAGCACCTTGGTTTTCCCCCAGCTACCCACAGCACCTCTGTGTGCATGAACCCAGCTCGATTAAAGATGTTCAGAACTGTTCCTTCCCTGTCTTCACCCCACCTTGTTTTTCATTTTTGCATTTACCCAGCCCAATCCTGCTCTGCCAGCCCTCCCTGGCCAGCTGGCAGTGCAGGGCATCCAGCCACAGAGCAAAAATGACCAGTGGGACTTTGGGTTGGAAAAATGTTGGAGTTGTTGGGTTCCCTACAGTCCAGTCCAGTACCAGGCAAGGACAGACTGTCAGTCACACTGGAAATTCCTGGCTTGGATGTTCACAGGCTACTATGGCTTTTCCAGACACGTGGGGACAAGGCTTGGAAGAAGAGGTTGGCTCTGACTCCATCTCTGTGTGCAGCACTGGAGCTGGGTGCTGTCCCTCTGCTCCCCCCTCTGCCTGAGGGACGCTGGAGGAATTACATCAGTGTTCCCCAGCAACAGGGGAATGGTGACCTCAGGGAAGTGTCTTGGATTTGTCCCACTGAATTTCAGAAGCTTACCTCAGGAAAGTGTGGTTGGTTTCTTCTCTATGATCATGCCCTCCATCAGGACACGACAAGGCTCCTGAGCCGAGCAGTCTCAGAAAGTTTCTGACATCTACCTTTGTAGGATTTTACCTTTTTGGGATTCAGCTGAGGTTGTGAGGCTGGTGAAGCAGGATCAGAGAAAAAAGCTTTGATGGAACTGTTCCCCTAGAAATATCTCAACCTGTTTAAAGGAGAGAAACTGCACTCCCATGGGGTCTGAGCTTTGTTGACAGATACAGTGTTGAATGGACCAAAGTTTTCAGGTATAATGTTTGTGAGAATCCCTCTGATGTTCTCCTTCTGAAAAGTTTTGTTTCTTTTCAAGGAAAATCTAAAGGAAAAACACCACGTGCTTTGGTTCAGAAAACTACCTTGTGCTGACCTGAAGGAACCAGCAACAAGGGAGAAGAGAAAGGAAGTCCATCTGCTCCATACAAGTCTGGACTGTCTCCCACAGAGGACTCCTGGGGAGGGGGTAAGGGCAGACCCCCAGACGTCCTCATGACTCTGGTGCAGGCATGAAGCAGTGAATGAGCTGCAGATTGATTTACAAGTTTCCCTTTCCCCACCACCTCCATGGGATCAGTGTGCTCTGAATTTTTTTGCATTCATTCTCCAGCCAGATAAATCCATCATCCTCTCGGCTGTGGCAAAGGCAATTCTGCTCCTTTCTTTCTGCCGCAGCGCTGCAGGGCATGTGGCTTTGCAGACGATTGAATCGCTCTGAATTCCTGTGACTGCTTCCTTACCCCCACGCTTCAGCTTGCTCCAGGGACCAGGGCAGTCCAGCAATGCCCGGGTCTGGGTGCCCAGGCTGTGTGCTCGGCAGCCAATCGTGCCCTCTGCTGTCACCGCAGCCGCCAGCCCGGCTCCCATCGCACCTTATCTCTCTCGAAACACTCTCCACACTCCCAGCTCTGCTTCCACGAGCAGGACAGTTCTGCCCTGGATCACTACCTTGCCAGCAGGGAATACCTTTTTTCTTCATATTGTAGCCCTCAAGCTGGTAGCCCTGAGCAGTGATCTGGGAGCCAGGGCGGTGGCATTCCCGCACTGCCTCTGGAATTGCAGCTGGTGCTGTGGGGCAGTGAGGGAGCTGCTACAGCCCCACAGCTCTAAGCAGCTTGCTGGAAATCTAATAGAGCAGGTTCCTGCCCCGGGAGATCCAGATGAGTGGAGAAAGGGTAGTCAGTCACGCCTGAGTGATAATAAAGACCAAGAGCTCAATAAGGGAGAGAGCCTCTGGCTGAATGGTACCACATACCCCTGGAATGGGGCACAGAGACAGCAGCAATGTTGGGGTTATACACGGACTTATAACAGCCCTGAGAGGTTTCTGTTTTTATAGTAAAACTTTAAAAAGAGGAACAGATCCAAAAGAATTTGCGTCTCCATCAAGTAACTACAAGCTTCTGGGATTTCTGCTCCAGTAGCAAAGAGGTAAGGCAGTCAGGCTGTAGAGGTTCACAGAGGTGGAATTCTACTACCTAATTTTTGAAATGTCTTTGTCTAAGAGCCCGAGCTGTGTTTAGGATTTCTGATGCTGCTACCTGAGATTTATTCCCAGTCTCAGCCACATAGGATACTGCCATGGCATCCGTAGGGCTGATAGCAGCTGCCTTGAAGGGAAAGGGGAAGGGGGGAGAGAAGAGAAAGGGGAAGGAAAGACATGGTAAAGACAAGGGAAAGACCAGCACAAACACGTGCAGAAACAAAGCTGACCAGGCTGAACTAAGAGTTATATACCAGGTATAATAGGTGAGTTAAATACCTGGCTATTTACCCGTACTACTGCAGTGGCTGCCAGGAGTCAGGGCTGTGTTTGGGACCATACAGAGAGATGCTGGCCTGAGCTGTGAGGAATTATTGCCACGAAGAAAGAGATGATGGGCACAGATGGATGAGCACACAAAATCAGGAAATAATTATCTCCGCTTTATCTCCGTATATAACTCTCCTCTATTAACACCATCTCTTTTCATCCTGGAAAAGGCCCTGGGGAGACCTTATAGCCCCTTCCAGTACCTAAACAGGATTATAGAAAGTCGGTGATGGACTTTTTACAGGGATGTGCAGGGACAGGACAAAGGGGAATGGTTTTAAACTGAAATAGGGGCAAATTAGGTTAGATAAAAGGAAGAAATTCTTTACTGTGAGGGTGCTGAGGAATAGCTAACCTAGAGAAGCTGTGGACGCTCCACAAATGGAAGAGCAGGCTGGATGAGGCTTTGAGCAACCCGATCTTGTGGAGAGCATCCCAGTCCACGGTTGGAATTGAATGATCTTTAGAGTGAGTCCCTTCCAACCCGAACGACTCCATAATGCCAGGACTGCGTGCTTGCTCAAACTCCGTCTTCCACTGCCCTCTTGTGGAGACTCGGCAGAATGCAGCGGAGCTCCCCGGCCCCGGCCCCGGCCCCGGCCCCGGCCCCGGCCCCGGCCCCGGCCCCGGCCCCGGCCCCGGCCGCGGGGGTCGTCCATCAACGCTGCCAAAAGAAATAAAGCATCCCCTCCCCTTGTCCTGCTCACTCCCCTGGAGTTTGAATCCCCATTTCCATGCTGGGCCTTCCTGGCAGCCAGCCATTCCATGGGCTTGGTGGTGACCTTCCCTCTGAATGCCAGCCTGTCTCTGAAGCGGGGTTTTCCAAGGGCGAACAGCCCAGCAGGGCTGAGCAGTTGAGTGTTTGTGGGTGTAAAGCGGGCAAAAAGCAGGTGTAGGGCAACTCTGTGTGTGACGGCTCCCTCGCCTCTCCAAACACCATCCGTGCCAGATGCCTGCAGGCCTTTGACCGCGGATTGCTATCGCTTCAGCTGAACTGCCCGGAAAAGCCATGACATCACTGTTTAAAAAAAAATTAAAATCTGTCAGGAGGAGGAAACCGTGCTCCGGGAAAATACAGTATTTATTTTGCAAGTGCAGCTGAGCAAGTCAATAGGAAATAGAGGTCGTGGCTGCACAGCTGCTTTTCTGGGGCAAGTGGAGCTGTCAGTCCAGCCCAGCCACTTCCAAAAGTGACAACTGCAGTAACCAGAGAGGCGGTGAGCTCAAAGGCAAGCAGGTCCTGACAGGGAGGGGAGAAACTTAAGTATGTGTGTCAAATGAGAGCAGTGTGTCAAAACCCTGCTGTGAGGACAGCCAGCTTTACTAAACATTAAAAACCCACCCCAGAAAGGTAGAAAGGGAAAGCAAGTGAGGAAATAAGGTGGGAAAGCAAGATTTTGCTGTTGTCAACATTCAGGTAATGATACATTTGTGGTCATTTTTCCAGCACGCTGTGTCTAACACAAGTAAGTTGGTGAGGGCTCATGCTGGCCTCAGCCTTCAAGGTGAAAAATAGGCTCTTGCCCAGAAAGATGCTTGGGAAGACCTCACTTCATGAAATACCTGCCCCACAGCAGGCAGGCGCTTGTTGCAGTCATCCTGCCTGGCCAAACTAAGCAAGAGGGGAGAGAGGCTGGCTCCAGCTCGTTGCTCAGCTCATGCCTTTTTGTGGGGTTTCTTCACATGCCAGCAGGTCTGGGCTGCTGGGAGACAAGCCAGAGGAGCTTGGGGTCACAAAATCACATAGAATGGCTTGTGTTGGATGGGATGTTAAAGATCATCTTGTTACAACCCCCTGCCATGGGCAGAGACACCTTCCACTGATTACAGTTACTGAAGGCCTCATCCAGCCTGGCCTTGAACACTTCATGGATTTGATATCCACAGCTTCTCTGGGTAACCTGCTCCAGTGCCTCACCACTACCATGGGTAAGAATGTTTTCCTAACAGCTAATCTAAATCTACCTTCCTTTAACTTAAGACCATTCCCCCTTGTGCCCCCACTACATGTCCTGGTGGAAAGTCCCTCTCCAACTCTCTCGTGGGCTCCCTTTAGGTACAGTAAAGTGCTCTAAGGTCTCCGTGTGGAACCTTCTCCAAGCTGAACAGCTCCAATTCTCTCAGCATGTCCCCACTGAAGAAGTGTTCCAACCCTGCAGCCAGCTTAGTGGCTCTCCTCTGGTCTCATTCCAACAGGTCTTATGCTGGGGGCCGCAGAGCTGGACATAGTACTCAGGGAGGGACCTGGCAAGACCAGAGTAGAAGTTAAAAATTTTAACTTTCATCATGAAACAATGTGTTTATTTAGAGGCAAACAGGACAAGGCAACCTCACTGTCTTTAGATGAGCACAAAAAGCAGAGCTCAAAGATGTCGTAAGGAAAAACAGCAGACCTAAAAGCCACAAAGATGAGGACGAGCCACTCTAACCAGGTCAGCAGCCTGTCCAGATCCAGAGGCTATGCTAAGCAAGACAATTCCTCAGGTGAAACTTCTCTAAGAATAGCATTGCTGTTATCAGTCACCATGATCCCACTTATGGGGCCCAAAAGCATCTTCATAGCTCCTGGTCCTAAAAACATTCAGGTGGTGTCAGCAATAGTTGTCTCAGCCTGCTGTGACGACCAGAAGGCCAAATCAGAGCAGCAAGGATGCTGCAAAACAGCAAATTGGCTCCCCCTCTTCTTGGCATTTTCTTCCCATACAAAGCTGCTTTGGTTATCTCACATCCACCTCTGTCCCATGGCCTGTTGAAAACCACATCCTTCTCTTCATCTCCAGCTCCTCCTAAGTGCAGCCCCTCCTGACCCTGCAAACAGCCAGGCCCTCCCCTTTCTGCTGGTGCTTCCAAGCGCCCCCATTGTGAATCATCTGGCAAGCCCAGAGAAAAAGTTATCCATGAATTAACTAAACTCAAAATGAAACTCAGACCCCACCCCGGGCCGTGCTGAGCCATGGCTGGGCTCCACACCAGTGCTGGTTCCAGCCAGTCCTGCCTGTGTAATTCAGAGAAACTTTTTGCCTGAGGCTCTTTGGTTTTCTGAAACCAGTGGAGCAGCACAGAGCTGCTGGGCTGCCTGCACAGAGCTCAGGGCCCGGGCACTCAGAGTTTCTCCCAGTACTCCACAGCCATCCTAACAGAGCAAAGCAGCTCCTCTCCCCACCAGGATGAGCCCAGGGACTCCCTCAGGCTGGGCTCTCTCAGCTCTGGCCCAAAGCCAGCGTGCAATGGCTGGAAACAGAGATGCTCTTGGCCAGTGAGGTCCTGGATGGGGTTACAGACCCTGCTCCCCTGAATCCTCCCACAAGGCAGGCAGAACAGCAGCCCCCCCATCCCAAGCTCTGAGAAGAGAGGAGCAGCAGGCAGTGATCTTCCCTGAGCAATTCTGGCAACTACACTGGATTCCAGGAAATATAAATAACTACTCAGCCATCTGGAGCTGTCCCTGGGCTGGTTAGCAAAGGTTTCTCCCAGGCTCTGCCCTGTTCCCACTGGCTACTCAGGGCCAATGCAGAAAACACCAAGGGGGTGGCACAGTCGCCTCCAGGATCCTGAGCAAAGTTGAGTCTTGCTCCTGCCAGAGAATGCCTTCACTCAAGGCTGAAAGAGGCCCTGCCAGAGCCACACCGAGCCAAGGGCTCACACCAGGGCTCAGCATGCTCAGCCCCTTCCCCAGGCACCAGCCAGGCTTCAAGGTGCTTAAGGAGAAGGACAGGCAAGAACAGACCTCTCACTCCAGCATACATCACTTTTCTTCATTTTATTCTTTTATTTGTACAGCTATATTTTACAGAACGCATTAATGCAGTTTAGACACAGCCCAAACCCTGTCTCCCGAGATTGTTTATAACACAAGCATGTAAAATAAGACAAAAAAAAATCCAAAACAAAAAAAAAATAAAACATTCTCCCACTTAAGAGTTCCACCAAAACTCCTTTTGCAACATCAGGCTGTACCTTGAAAAAACTGAGCTCAATATAGTCCATACACTGAAAACTTCCATTGAAAAGAAAGGCACCGTGCGAAACCACATTTTACATATATACAGACTGAGAACTAGAACAAAAAAATTACACTTTATTATTATTTTAAATTCCTTCTGCAGCTTTGTTGGTTTAATACACACTTTTTTGTAAATTGTAAACCTTCACTTGCAAAAAAATACAAATACACTGATGCATTTAGACAAAATATTTTCTTACTTGTACAGATGCAATACTTTAAAATATCTCCTTAAGTGCTCTATCATAATAAAGATTCTCAGAGTGGCTTCTGCCTGCAGAGTCCAACTGAGCCTTTAATGCATTTTATATATTTTTAATATAGCTTTTTTAAAGGTCTATATATATTTATTTTATATATATATTTATATATTTATATCTATATATATTTACAACTCTGCCATAGATTCCTTCACCTTTGGTTAAAAAAGTTAAAGCCCTCTCTTTAATAGCATACTTTCTCTTTAAAAGAACACACATTTTGCATACAAAAGAAAAAAATCTGTTCCCATAAATCAACATTACATTCCTCATCTTCAAACGGCAAAGGCTGTGAAGGTTAGACTCCAGAGTTTATCAACACTCCACTGCACAGACATTTAAAATGACTATTTTAAATTTTTTTAATGTTTTATATACAGTAAGATCTGAATAATTTTATTTTTTCTTTTTGTTTCACATAACTGGGAAAAATAAAACCCGTGTATTTGTAATTTTTTTTTTTAAATTTCTAATGTTTTTCCACCTATCTGTACTATGGGTTTAGAGGCACTCCATCATGTGATGAATATTTTTTCTCTCTCTTTTTTTTTTTTTTTTCTCTTTTAAAGTGTTGCAAGCATCCTTTGGACAGCTTCTCCCCGCCATGCCCCCCCAGACGACCTCCTCCAGGGAAATCCGGTGCCTTCAGCAGGCCTTGGGGAGCTCGGGAGGCGCCTCGCTGGCCGAGATGCGGTACTGCACCTTGGTGTTGGTGATGGCCCCGTGCTTCTGCCGCAGGTGCAGCCGCAGCTGGCTTTTGTGGCGGAAATGCAGGTTGCACTTCTCACACTGCGGGGCGACAGGCAAAGAGAGAGGGTGTCAAACGCCGTGGCAGAGGACATGTCCTCCCCTCAGGGCACGCTCCACCAGAGGCCCCAGGACACTGCACCCACTGTACAGGTGGACGAGGGGAAAAGTGGGAGGAGCAGCACCCCATCCCAGGCTATCAGCAGCATATATTGGTTTATGGGATGCACAAAGGGCAAAGCCCCTCAGGAGATGGCTCTGGCTTTGATGGACATAGCACCAAGCTCCATGTCTAGGTGATCAAACCAGCTACAGGGCTATTTCTGGAGCTGCTTTTGACTTCTGCTGAGCTGAATGGCTCCAGGATGTTTGGATATCATCCCCTTCTTGGATTCTGTTTCTAGCAGATGGTGAAAGCCAGGAAAGCCCCAGCAAAGAGCTGGGAGCCCACAGGGCTGCAAGCAAGGCAGGGCATACTGTTTGCTGGGTGTGATTATCACCATCAGAGGGGAGCTCAGGCCAGGCACTCTGCTCCTTTCCCCCATCCCCACACACCACAGGCAGCTGTAATTTAAGCCACAGCTATTTGAAGACGTGTGACCTTCTTCCAGATGGGGTGGAAGAAAAGAGCAACTAAGGTGTACCCAGCTTGGGCTGCATGTCAGTGTTTCCAACACAGCCACGCCTGAAAAAATACCACATCAGCATCAGCTAATGCCCGGGAGGGAAATGGGGCACAAGAAGCAGGGATGTGACCTTGGTGTGGGGCCTCATGAGGCTGGCAAAGGGCATTGGGATGCTGCAACCAGCCTGTGCAAATGCCCTTGTGTCTTCTCAGCCCTGGCAGCATTGTTCCCCAGCCTAAGCTGAGATTCCCCACCACCAAAAAAAGCAGGGCCACTCACATGGTATGGTTTCTCTCCTGTGTGGATTCGAAGGTGACTTTTGAGGGTCTGCAGGTGCCGGAAGCGTGTGCCGCAGATCTCACAGGGGTACGGCTTCTCCCCGGTGTGAATGAGCACGTGAGCACGCAGGTGGGCCACCTGCAGAGAGCAGCTCTGGGTCAGAACAGCCCCAGGGAGGATGGCATCCCACTGGGAGCAAGGGTATCCCTCTGGGAATGGGGTTCTGCCCACACAGCTTTTTTGATCTATTGGGTTATAGGTGGGAGGCAGGGTCTGAGCTTTGGTACCTCCAGTCCTTAAGACAAAATGAAGCAGAATAGCCACAACCTGCAGTCAGGCTTTCTTACTAAGCCAAATTGTCCCCCTCGGACCTTAAGGTCCATATTTATCCTACAACACCATGGGAAGAGCTGCCCAAGGCAGAAAGCTGACCCATCATCACCTTCCTCTCTGCCATTAGGCATCACCAGTCTGGGTGGTGCAGATCTGCCAGCCTTGGGCAGATCTAACCATATCCCACCTCCCCAGGCACTGCGGGTCCCAGAGGCTGCACGCACCTGGACAAATCTGGCCCCACAAGTCTCACACTTGTAGGGTTTCTCCCCAGAGTGGATGCGTGTGTGGGTTTTCAGGTTGGCTGGTCGGTTGAACTGCGCCCCGCAGATGTTGCAGCGGTACGGCTTCTCTCCTGCAGAGCCCAAAAGAAAGGGTGAGGGATTAGCTACAGGTGTGCTCAGCACCCAGGATCCACGGTGCTCCCCAGAGTTGAATCCCTTCAGGTGCCAGACCCCATGGCATGAAGCACTAGCCCTGACTCCTGTTCCTTTTGGATATGGCTGTGGACAAGCAGCATTAGGCAAGGTGTCTACCGGGCAGGGTGAGTTCAGGAGGTAGCTTTTCTGTTTTGGATAGGGAGCTGCAACTTTCAGGGCAACACAGGAAGTCAGGCAGCTCTGCCAGCAAGGATTAACAGCATCATTCCTCCTGACCCTGTGACAGCAGCTGGCACCTACATCTCCCTACAGCTGTCAGTAAGCACCCTTGAACACTGCCCTGGTACTTGTGCTGTCTCAGGCCCCTGCACAGCCCTCCTGGAGCTCAGCTGAGACTGTGAGAATTTGGGTCTAATTCAGTGCAGCAGCAGAGAGTCATCAGCCCAGACTTCCCTTCCCCAGCTTGTGAACTGGCTGTTGATATGTTAAGTATTAAAAGCATGAAATAAAATAAGCCCTAGGTTTGTCAGCAAATGACTAAACCCTTAATATCCTCTTCCTTTCTCAGCTTTCATTGTGCTGATTCAGAGTCCATCCATTCACAGATTTTCCTATCAGCAGAGTTTATGCCAAGCTAGATGTGACCTGGATTTCTAGGAGGTAAAAATAAATCTCAGACTTCTCTCTAAATGTTCTTTCAACTATTTTTAATCTCTTTTTTTTTTTGCTTAAGTCTACCACAAAGTTACCTGGAGGCTATGCATTTGCTCCCAGTTATGAATTTTGCACGACACCTTTAAAAAACAGCGGTGCCCAGTGCTTTATAGCAAAGGAAGTTTTGTTCCAGCCCTGCTGCAAGGGCAGGTATCTCCCTCATTCCCAGGTTTGGTGCTCTGGCCAAGGGCTCTCTGGCAGTGCCAAATAAAGCACCCTGCTCTTCCCATCAGAGACAGCTTGTGACACAGGGTAGAGGATGCTGCACCAGGCACAAACCCAGCCATAAACACCCACATGCTCACCAACCCACAGCCTCCCCAGAGCTGTCCCCAGAGCCATCACTGCACCTGTGTGGACGGTTTTGTGGCTGGCGAGGTTCCCCTTGTAGCGAAAGGAGGCCTGGCAGCGGTCACACTTGTAGGGCTTGTCACTGTGCACTTGCAGAGAATGTCTCTTGAGAGAGGCCTCCTCGGAGAACCGGCAGTCGCACTCGTTGCAGAAGAAGGCTCCATTCTCTGGGAGGGCAGAGAGAGGAGCAATCAGCTGGACAGTGCATGGGTCACCTTCTTGATAGGCTATGGGATGGATTTGGGGTGGAGGAGAGGGGCACCCAGAGCAAGTGTTGGAACAAGCAGCCAAGTGCAGGTGTTCACATCCAGCTGTGCTTGCACTGTGCTGTTACCTCCTGGCCTTGTGCACACAGTGACAACATGCATGGTTTGAGAGCAAAGCCATCACGAGCTCTAGTTTAGAGCTTTCTCTCTCCTTTAGTGACACACAGGCTGCTTCCAAGAAGCCAGCATGTCATCTGGACATCTTCCAGAGAGGTCCATGAAAGCTCTCAAGATATCAGGCATCCTCTGAAGGATGCTCAGCTCTGGAGCAACTCCTGCACCTTCAGAGGTCTTTTAACCTTTCCTGCCTTGAGCTTGGAAAGATGATCATCACCCAAACCACAAGGAAGGCTCCCCCAGTAGGAGGATGCCCAACTCTTACATGTGTTGAGTGTTACCACAGTGAGGTTCCCTCCTTGGATCTCTGCCCACACTACAGGTGGCAATGCTGCATTCCCCCTCCCTGAGCTACAGGCAGATGAGTGCACAGATACCTGTATTTGGGCTTGTGGGGTTTTGTAACAAGATTGCAAGGCTCATTATCTGCATTTCCCCAGATGTGCACACTGGGCTCCCTGATAATAAAGATATCATGACGGATGCATGAGACATGCCAGCTTGCCCAATCCCCATTATGGTCATTACATCTGTCAGGCTTGTTCTCCTGTGGCTCTGGTGGGGTGGGGTGCACTTGTTTCCTGTCCTTACCTGCTAGGTTTGCAGCAGGTGACTACCTCCCTGCACAACGTATCTGGATGGTGCTGGGGAAGGGGAGGAAGGCAGCAATTCCTATGTGCATGTGTCCCTCATATGCATGCACACAGCTGGGCAGACAGTTAAGAGGGGGCTGTAAAGCACTGTGGGATCCACCAGCATCTGGGACAGATCTGACTGTGTGTTTGATCACAGGGCAGTCAGTGATGGTCCCTACATTGCACAGCCCCCCAGCTGCTGGATGAAAAAGACAATCAAAGATGCAAGACTCACCACAGCTGGAGTCAGAGTACTCAGACTGGGTTTCCCCCATCTCTTCTCCAAAGTTTGAGCCAGGGGTATGAAGGCACATCTCAGTATGTTGTGGGGACTGGCAGCCACAGGAGCTGCACTTCGATGAATGCATGTACAGTGGGGACTGCCCTTCGCTGCTCCGAGGGGACCCATCCCGGGACCTGTGGAAGGAGAGCAGCATAAACAGCTGTGAGAAGGCCCTTGCTGTGCTCCAGATACCGAGGGTGTTTGCACCCCTCCCAACACAAGGGACAGACATGTTTTATGGGGACATCTTTGTGGTGAGCTGCACAGCATAGCCCTGATCAATAACAGATCCTTAAGCTTCAAACCTTCAAATGTCCATCACCAAATTACCTCAAATGTCTTTAGGAACATCCAGGTTCAGAGGACAGCATATTGTTCCCTCATGCTTTGGCCATTCTAGTGCTTACAGCCAACAAAAAACTTGAAGCATAGGGAGACTGGTTGAAACACAGACTAGGCAAATCCAGGCTCCAGAAATCATCCAGAGCTGCTAAAGTTACCCATGGATTCACAACCCAACGTTCCCAGTTCCTTTGCCAGTCCTCACTGGCAGCACTACAGTCGGGACAGCAGGCACTCAATGTCACTGGCAGCCCTCCACTGAATGCAGGGGATTTCATCTGCTCATGACTGGACTTCCCAGACCAATGCAACAGATATTTCACACTCCCAAACCCTCACCAACAATGCAGGAAGTCCTCTTTCTCAGAGGGGAGGGGCATGGGGGGTGGAAATCTTCTCACCTGTTAACAATATTGTTGAGCCTGCTTGCTTGTGGGATTGTAGAGTCTTCACCATTCACGCTTATCTTGGTGGGGGATTGCACATTGAGATGCTCCGGCTCCATGGACTGCTGGCAAGTGGACATGGGCACGTAGGTGCGAGGAGAGAGGGTTCCCATCTCGTTCTGGTCAGCGCTGTCTTGCTTGGTGTTCTGGTTGAGAGAGTTGAGGACAATGAACTTGTACTTCTTCCAGTTGCAGGCTTTGGGGTCTGTGGGGCTTTTGGTGAAGAGGGAGCTGGAGTTCTGGCCGATACGGGCATTCTTGCTGCTGCTGGACTCAGTTGGTGAGTTGGGCTGGCAATCTGACTTCTGTGGGCTCTGAGGGCTGATGAGTCCCTTGCGGTCCAGGGGTGTGTTGGTGGGCTCAAAGTGCTGGCTGATCTCATCCTCTGAAGAGGTCCGCTCCTCCTCTTTGGCCACTTTATCGCAAGGGAAGTAGGGGTTGTTCCGGACTGAAGGGATGACAGGTTTGGGCCCAGAAGCCACGCTGTAGTGCATGTCACTCCTGGCTTCTTCAGCAGCACCTTCTTTTGGAGCATAGATGGTGGCGTGGCACATGTTGGCAGAGATGTCGGTAATGGTTCTCACGTACTCGGTGGGGATTGTCCTGGAGCTGTCGCACGGCAGGATCCTCTCCTTGGGGAAGGCACCTGCCCTTGAGAGTTCAGAGAGAGGCATCCTCATCTCCCGCAACTCATCATCCACTAGGAAGCTATTTAGAGGGAGAGGGCTGTATCCATGGTAGGAAATGGGGGATCCAGACAAACTGTTGATCAAGCCAGGTGCGAAGGCCCTCCCGTTGCAGAGAGAGCCGTTTTGAAGAGGCATGCCATTCTCTGAGACATCTCTGCTCCGATAAGCCATCACCTCTGGGTGGCCCAGCATCCGTCCTGCCAAAAACTCTTCCCTTGGGGTCTTCACAGCAGACACCATCTCTGCTTCACTGGAATCGGGGAAAACAAAGCAATTGTTTAAGAGGGAGAGAAAGTCATTTTCAGCTGTTAAAGATACATTTGCAGACACTTTGTCAGTTCTTCCCCTGCCCAACCAAACACACAGTCCCAGGCTCTTCAAACCTCACCAACTGCACTCACCTAGACTTGACAAACCTTCGGCAGGTGTCAACCACGTGCTCCATCTGCAGGTAGAGTGCTGTGGCCATCACAGCCATGATATTGTTCTCCCTCAAGTTCAGGCGGGAGGTGTACATGAAGTCCAAGAGGATGCAAAACCCCTCAGGGTTAATTTCAGGATCCAGGTTGATAACATTCAAGTTGCACTTGAGCTGGTCAGTGAAGATGCTGTAGAAGAGGCCACTGCAGAGGGTAGACAGTAGAGAGGACAAGTGTTATGACAATTCAAAGGAAAAAAAGGAGAATTTGTAGGAAATCCCTGAGTACAGAGTGGGTTCATGAATGGGAAGGGAGGAGGAGGAGGCAATTACAGAATTCCCTGAGCTTCCCCCTTATTATCAAGCTTGGTTTCTCAGCTTAGTAAGCGTCTTCTGCACTGCACTTTTCCCAACTGGAACAGCCTGCTTTTAGATCTCACCTGCTCAACAACTCCCCACTGCCTCCATTTAGTAATTCCCCAGCTTTTTTGGTTTTTTTCCATTGTTATTCTTACCACCATCCCCCTTCCACTATGACTCATTTCTTTCAGAAGCCTCTCGGGGCTTCCACACAGTTTTAAACCAGAAAAACAAAATAAGGAGAAATGTTGGCAAAACATTTTTCAGACATTTTAATAGTCAAAGCTCGGCTTTTTGAAATCTTTACACCATGTCAGCAAGAGAACCTGGAAGGCATTTGCTGTAATTCAACTGGGCAATGATGGGATATTAATTAGCATTCATTGGGAAGCAATTCCAGCAATCTTAGGAGCTGGAAAGGGATTTCAGACTCCATCAGGCTTAAAAAAGAAAAAAAAAATTAATCAACAAAGGTGGGTGCAGCCAGCAGTCTGGAAGCCAGGGAGGAATAGCTCTAAAAATAGCAGTGGCAGGGGACACCTTGGTCACAGAAGACTCATTCACCCCAGTGAACATCCAGCCCTCTCCCTCCTCTCCTGTCCCTGTGGCACATTTGTGCTTTGCCTTCAGGGATGTGCCTCACAGCTGCTGTGCTCCTGCTGGTCTCCATGGGCTGTGTGTGGGCAGATGTGGGTACACAAGGAGAGAGGTGAGGCCAGCACACTGGAGGGAAGCAGACTCAGCTCTAATCCCATTACAGGTACAAATTTCTTGGCAGCCCCTTTCAGTTCTGTTTCTCTGCCTCTGTGAATCCCACGAGCCCCCACAGGACTGCAGCAGTGCTTCTGGAGGCCAAAGGCTGAAGGAGCAAGGAGGGAGCCAGAGAAGGACCCTGTTCTCACCTGCAGGCCATCAGGACTGTTTTGTGGGCTCGGAACTGCTCCCGGTTCACGATGATGACAACATCGGTCAAGATATCCCGGCTTCTAAGGCGGTTGAGATTGAGGAGGACGTCGCTCGCGTGGCGCGTGAACTGGATGCAGCTGTCTGCCGGCGAGGCCATCTTGAGTCTGGGAGACAGAAGCATCAGAGCAAGATGAGAATGGAGAACAACCAGGCACGTACCCTAAACCCAGGGAAGAGACGGCTGCTGCTCTGGAACATGCTCAGATGGCCAATTGCTCCTGGTAGGGGCAGCACCAGCTCCTCGGTCCCAAGGCAAACAGTCCTGCACCACACCAAGCTTTTGCCAGGCTGCCTAGTGAGGTCCCTGGTCTCCTGACAGCAAGACCTGGCACGTCTCATCTCACCCATCAAGCTGGTGGGTGAAGGCAATCAGACCCTCCTGATGATTAGCCAACCATCTCCTCTTTCTCCCTGCCTCACCCATGGCAGCCCCACCCCAGTCCACTCCGCCCACTCAGGTTCATCTCCATAATGTTTCCAACATTAGAAGCTTCTAGCCTTCCAAACTCCCTCAGGAGCCATCCTCCTCACCTGTGTGATGTCTGGCTGCAAATCCAGCCACAGGAATCAAAACAAGCCTTAAGGTCTCAAATGAAGTTGAATGATTTCAACATCTGGAAAATCCAGCCCACAGTGGAATACCAGCCCTCACCCTACTTTCCTGCTCCCAAGTGGTGGTCACTCCAGAGAAGACCTGTCCACAGTTTCCCAATTAATTGGTGAGGAGTAGAACTCATCTAACCTGCTGGGCTGCTACCCACACCATGGCCCATGAGCAAGGTTTGGGTTAGTCGAGGAATATGAAGCCTTCTCCCAACACAACACCTGTTGACACATCTCAGAGGTGTCCTCCCAAGCAGCAGCCAGGATAGCCTGTGTCTCCCTGAGGTTTGGGCTGGAATGCATCTTTGGTGTTAAATTCTTCGATCATCAACCCCCTCCCAAAATCCCAACTCCTCCTTCCCCTGTGGCACGTGAACATACAGTAGTTTCTACAGAGCAGCAGCTCTCCCAAAACCAAAAGCCAGATGGGTCTAATGAAACATTGCATTAAGGAAAGGGGGAGAGAGATTAGGAGGGAAAACACAAAATTTAAATTTACATACCCAATGCCTCAATTCACAGTCCAAAAGTTTCTTTCAAACCTACAAATAAATCACAAGAAAACAAACACCACATTAGCTGGTAATTATGAATTGGCCATGGCAGGTCACAAGGCTGCTATTTCGCTCAAGTATCAGTTGGATAAAAGCTAGAGATAACAAACCTTCTACTCTCCAGTAAGGTTAACATTTGTTTCTTCCGGTACAGTACGTTCTTATCACAATCACAGGCTTTGAGAATCCAATCATAGCTTCTTCCACACCCTCTAGCCCAAACCATGGGCGGATGCCAAGGAGATTTTCATTTCCATGACTCAGGAACTTAAAGGCAGGTGGGGAAGGGAAGTCAAGCGAGAATTTTCTCACCACTTCTTTTGGAGATAACTCTTCCCCTGCCAAAACTGAATTCCAGTCTGGTGCCACATTCAAGACCCATGCCATACTCCCAGCACCTTGTTAACAGGTATGACATACACACAAACATCTGCTGCCACTCTACTCAGAAACCCACATGCTCCAGCCATGGGTGAAAACGCCCTGGGATGGGATTGCTCAACAGATTTGGGAGGATATAGGTGTAAGTACCAACGTGACTTGGCCAGGACTGCATAGGAAGCCGGTGGTGGAGACAATAAGGATGCAGAACGAATGTCCCTTCCCCATGCTGCTGCCAAAGCCTTCCCTTAAACCACAAGCTGTGTCTCCAGGCACTGGCTTCACCCAGCAATGTAGCTGTGACAGAATAGCAAGGAAACCCAGGAATTAATTGCCTTGCAGAACTCATACTAATCCTCCAAAATTCACTTAAACCAAACCCAAGTGACTTGGCACCAGTGCAGGAAGAATGTCCTCAGAGAGTTGCCTCAGCAGGTAGAAGCACAATAAAGAAGTGAGCCAACAAACCCCAAGACCTTCATCACACCATTTTGAGGACCAACCCCTAGACTGTTAAGACTGCAGGAAGCACAATAACCCCTGTGAGACAAGGGATTGTCAAGTGTTGCCTCCCCTCTCCCATGCAGGAGATGTGCAGGCCTGGAGCCCAAGATCCCCTCCCATTCCCAGAGCCACTGAGATTAAGAGATGAGATTTAAGGCAAGGTATCACGCACAAAACCCAGAGGGTGTCTTACAGCTTTATTCCAGCCATCAAACACAAATCTTCAGAGCTGCTCTGAGCCTGGATAGCTTAAAACTTTATGCACATACAAAAAGTGACTCATTTCCCAAATACTGCAGACTCTGACCTTTCTGTACGCTCACTGCCAGCCACTCACTACTGTCAATTGCAAGCCAAGGGACTCAGAGTGTTCTGCAGGGAGCCCAGTGCACATCCCTGTGCCCACATGAGCAGATGTGCTTGGGGCAGCTGGCTGGCACCCCAACCTCAGCCACAGTGGCAGACATACTCTGCCAGGCTCTGGGGAGCCACATCAGTGTCACAGAGGTGAGGAGGTGACCCTCTTGTAAACCAACAAAGCTACAAACAGCCAGATGAACTCTGTACCCCTGAGCATCATGTGAGAAGCTGCTAATGTCGCCAAATCCCCTTATCCACAGCGAGGACACAGCACTGCCAGGGGGACACCCAGCTTCTCTCCCGGAGCTGGACCCCAGCACAGCCCCCTTCCCCACCCTTCCAAGTTATCCCTCCCAGCACAGTGCTGCTGCAACATCCACAGCCCCAAGAGCAGGGCAGGTGCATCCCAGGCAGCTCCTGGCTGCAGGATGTGGGCATGCAAAGGGAAAGGGACTTTCCTTCCTCTGGCTGTGCTGAGCCGGGTTAACCCTGCCCCTTCCAGTCCCTGCACAGCACTAGCTCTGTACCCCAGCACGGGAGGATACTCAGAGACCAGAGAGAACAGGATGGCAACAAGGACCTGAGACCAGCGATAGGCAGCAGAAAAAACCACTGCAACCAAGCATGGTCTTTGCCATCTGAACCCCCCTCAAATCCCATGAGGCTACTCCAGGCTCAGCCAGGCCAGAGCATCATCCCCACCCCACCGCCCCCTCCCCTCCAGTTTTCCTGTCCGGTACCTTGCAGGTGTGGGCTCTCTGGCAGTGCTCGAGGCTGTGTGCCAGGGCTGGCTGTGCCCATAGAGGAAGGTCTGGAAAGGGCACAGGGCCCATTTCAGAGGTGGCCACACGGGACAGTCACTGCTGTTCCTTCCAGGAAGGCAATGGGTCTGCCCCAGCGGTTCAGGGAACAGCCCTTCCCTGCCGGCACCACCCCGAGAAAACCCATTCCTGGAAAGGAGCCCAGAGCTGGCTCTGCCTTCCCTGCAGCTCTGTGAGCACAGGGAGGGTGTACCTTCGTGTGGGGGAACCTTTTTCAGCTCAACCCCAGGCAAAGGGGAGACCCTCTTTGCTCACTTACCCTGGGGCAGAGGGGAGAACCAGGGACTTCCAATCCATTTTTCTGCCATGCCTCTCCATTGGTCTACTCTCCCTTTTCATTCATCCTCCTCCCACTCTGTGCATAGGGGGCAACTCCTTGCTCCCCTAGCCTTCTTTACATGGTGATACCCCATGGTCTTAACCCTTCTCCCACCCCCAGTCGCACATGCAGGGAGGAGGGCATCAAACACTCCCCCTCCCTGGGCCCCAATCTCCTACCCCTCCAGAGCCTGCAGCGCCGACTCACTCACATCACCTCACAGGGGTGACTGGGTGAAATCTTCCTTCCCCACAATCTCATCCCACACAGTGTTCTGAAACTGCCCGCCCAGGGGAAGCTCCATCCTGCCCTCCTCCTCCCCAGTCCCCGCACCCTGCAGGGTCCCAGCCCCTTGGGAACATCCCCACTGCCTGCCAGGGCGTGCTGCCAGCTGCCTCTCCACCCTGCCAAGGAATGCCTGCTTTCTCCTGAACAGGGATCAGGGGGACAACCAAGAAAATGAGGTGGGGTGTGGGTGGCTGCCCCAGCAAAGCCATGGGTGCCACATGCCACGGTGAAGAAGATGCTTTTGGCTGTGGGTGTGTGAGTGCCCAGCTCAGCTTTCTGATACCATGCAATCCAGGGGCACTGAGCGTCCTTTAGTTGTCACAGCAGTTTTATTAGTTTAGTAGCTTCTGATTAGTGTCTAGGCCAAAACGTGGCTGGGTTAATAATAACCCAAGAAGAGACTGAGAGAAGTCCACGGTGTCAGCACAGATCAAAAGCAGCATCACCAGGGCAAGCCCTGTCGTATTTTCCACCCGTACCCTTCCGTGAACGGATCGCACTCGCTCTATCGAGCGGTCTCAATCTGATCCAATTTCCTGCCAGCAAACAAATGTTTCTAGGAAATGCAATGCATTATCTGGACGGGTTTATTATCAGCATTTGGAACCAGGAAAACTGCATATTTTCTCGAGCGCCGCAGGGAACTTTATAGTTCATACTTCAAAAGAGGGTTTAAAGGATTGCCCTTGAAAGCTGGCCCAGCTCAAGTCTCACATTGTTTTGGTCTTTGCAGAAGAAAATGCAGAGGAGGGAGGGGATAAGCACGCTAAAACTGCCTCCAATGTTTTCCTACTAAAGAGGACTCCCCTGCCCTCTACGGAGCCAAGCTCTGGCTGTGAGGCAGAGGCAGTGTGTGCCCTTGGGAAGCAAGGAGTCGAGCCTTCCTCAGCATTTCAAACGACCCCAAGCAATCTGGCACATTAATTTTTCAAGGGAAGGCAGGAACCATGTGTCCTGGCTGAAATCTAGGGAGCTACTCCAGAGAACAGAAGATGGACTCCATGCCCTGCCAACACTGAGCCCTGCACCGAGGCGCCGACCGAGCACAGGGTGCAGCCGGAGCCGGGTGTCCCCACAGCTGAGCTGGGTCCCTGGCCCCGCTGGGCTCCAAGGAGGTGTCTGATCATCCCTCTCCTGCACTGGGACAGAAAATTATCAGCTGGCACCTGACCCTCCCTGTCTCTGTGCTCCTGGGGCTGAGGGTGGCACAGCTCCTCCTGGCAGTAAGGAACTGCTCTGGCATCCCGCCTGGGTGGGATGAGACACATGCACAGCTTGGGGTGCCTTGGCCAGGGTAGAGACATCCTCTTGCCCCTATATTTAGCCAAACAGATTTAAGGAGGTGAATTTCAAAGGGTATCTAGTCCTTCAGGACCCGTTCAGAGCCCCCTGTCCTGCAGTGTGCTTGTCTCAAGCTCTCTCCTCCATAAAAGGGGTCCAACATTCCCCATGGATACCCAGCATACAGCCCAAAGGCAGGAGAAAGAGGGGAAGGAAAACAATATAGATCAAAAAATTCCTACCCCTCTCCCAAATGCTCCTAGTTCTCTCTCTGGTTTAAATGGGAAGCTCCACTGAGATTACTGGGGTTTTTAAGCAGTCCTAAGGACTACATGCTTGCTCCAGTTTAGGGGTGTGTGTCTTTTGGCTGCCAGCATCCTGCAGCGATGTTAACAAATAAGATCTAGCTTGGATTTTAAAAAGAAAAAAAGAAGGGAAAAGGAGGACTACATTTGCAGTCTAAATTTGCAGTCTGAAGGAGCTTACTGGTCAGTTGCTGACTTTTGGATACTGATCTAACCAAACTGCAAACTGTGAACTCCTGAGGTTTGCCAATGCCTGCTGTAAACATGGAAACCAAGTGTCACTTTTTGCCAAACAGAAGAATGGTTTAAAAATAGATCTAGAGAAGAATACAGGCACTCGGCATACAAGGCACCCGTTTATAGACTCCCATGCTACTATAAAATGGAGCAAGAGGTTATGAGCACACAAGCAATCTTCCACCAAATTTAGATTTTACCAACTTCTCAGAAAAATGAAAACAACATTTCAGGCTCCAGCTGAACCAGTAAAAAAGCTCTTTGAGTGAAGTTCCCAGCGCAGGTATTGCAGCATACAGACTAAACCAGGCATGAAACATTTCTTCAACCTTAACACAATAAATATATGAAGGTGCATAAATTGCACACTGAGAAATGCATCTACTGATTAGAGCTTTATTTTATTAATCTATAGACTTTGTAAAAAGGTTTTATTTTTCATGGAGAAATAAAGTGAGACAGTCCTACCACACAGGACTGGCACACAAAGTTTTACCACTTGTATTTGTATGGGGTTTTGAGGATAACATTACTGTTTACTAAGAAAAAAAAAAAAGTGCTCCAAATCCAAACACTATTCCTACAAATTCATATTGGGCTGCTGCAGCTGGACACTGAAAGCTTTCCCTGCCCAAGGGGGGAAAAAAACAGAAAAAAAGCATAGCTTTACAATACATCCTAAATTAGGCAAAAATTCAAGGGCAGATTAACACCACAACTCGGAAAGATTTTCACATGTGATTTCATGACCAGACCCAGAGAGAACTCCATATGGAAATGTCAGTGACTTTAATAAGCACTCGGTTGTTTCCAATTAGGCTCCTTAAGTAAGTTCAGTGGCATCCAGAGTTTCCTCTGCCACCTTCCTCCAAGCTGGCAAGCATTTTTTTTTTCTTTTTTTAACGAGCAGTTAATAAACATGTTCCCACTCTCCCGAGGCTCAGCCCCGCCAGCCCCGCGCGGAGCGGCGGGAGGTGACACTAGATGGCACCAGTTCGCTTTGCTGCAGGAGCGATTTTTCCCCTTGGAAAATAAAACACCCCAACCAAACCTGGAAAACATATAATTTTGTCGATGTAATTCTGTTTCTCTTAAAACGCATCTGAGCGACATTATTTTTATGAGCTTTTCCAGCCTTGTTTTGAGAAACTTAATGTTTCTGTTAGGTTTATTTTTGTACCATCCAACAGCCGGCTGAATCCTCCCTGCACTGCAAACAGGGATGTCTAAAAAGTGTCACAAAGCCTTTTGACGGATTTCTTTTTTTTTTTTGCTTTGTTTTTGGGGGGGGATTTGTAAGAATCACTTCTCATTCCAACTTCTTCCTTCGCAATAATAACTAACCAGTTAACCTCCACTTCCTCTCCCAATATTGACTCAGACAGTCAGAACTGAGGGGGATTGGAAATTGGAACTGAAATGTATCTCAAGAGATCTTTGATCTGTTTTGCCAATCAAAACTGAACACCAAGAGATGAACTCTTTTCTTACTGGAACAATTCAATAATCCATTCTTCTGGAAAATTTCTAGATACCCTTTGACTATTTTAATGGCTTGGTGATATGTTTCATGGGGCAAAATGTTTGCCATCTATAATGCAAGTTTTTAAACCTGCAATCCTACCCTTTAGGAGAAAATAACAGAATCTTTGGTTCTGCTTCTATGTGCATATATAAAGAGAGGATTCCCCTAAAATATTTTTAGAGCAATTTTGAACTGTGACCTACTCAAGGACTGGAGGAAGGAGCCTGCATTTGCTCCTAAAGCTCTTATCCTTTAATTTCTTAAAACAGCATGGCAAATAATAATTTTTAAAGCATTTAAACACTCGGGAGAGGAATCAATAAGATTCCCAGATCGAATAAGGGCCTGATCCCAAACCTGGCCCTGCTGACACTTCCACTGGCACAAGCAGCAATTTGGCCCAAGACAGAGATTTGGACAAGATACTCCAAAGTAGCAGCTTCTCACTGAGCCTCATCCGTCTGTCCCCAGCCTCCCTTCGCATTGATCCTGCGACTACTGAAGTCAGTGGAAAAAACTAACCGGGGATGGGTTTGTTTTTGTTGATTTTGACTCATGACTTTAAGCCCAGATTTGCCTTTTCCCTGGAAATGCAACAGGGGGGTTAAAGGCAGCTTTTTAGGCACATCTGAGAGGCTGCCGCGGATTTTTCTAAGCAAACGCCTTGCTTTCTGTTTCCCTCCTTCCCAAGAGGCGATTTCATAACATTTCATATTGTGACTTTGCAAACTACAGGCGGGGGGAACGGCGGGGGGTGGGGGGGGCGGCCGGGAGAGGTCGCTGCCGTCCGACCACGAAAGTTTTCATAACAAAGTTGGGCTTTTTCGGTTTTGTTTTGCCTTTTATTTTTAAAAGGGGGGGAGGGGGAGCTTAAAAAAAAAAAAAAAGAAAGAAGAAAATGCGCACACAAGATCACGCACCTAATAAAAACAATTAAAAAAACCCCAAATGACCAAAACAAACAGCGCTCTGTCTTGCCCGGCCGCTCTCGGCGGTTTCGGGGCCGCAGCGGCGCGGGGCTTGCGCGGCTCCCCGCGGCCGCTCGCTCCAGGAATAGCGTGTGGCCGGGGGCCAGCCCCGCGGCTGCCGCCGGCAGATTTACGAGCGCCTGTCCCCGCGCCAAGTCCGCCGCGGTAGTAAACACAGGGCAAGGGCTGCGCCGGGGGCAGCGGGGGGCTCCGCACGCAGCGCGCCCCGGACCCCGTCCCTCGCATCCCTCGCACGGCTGCGCTCCGCTTCCCCCGCCCGCCGCCTTCCTCCCGGCGGGGGACGCCCGCTCCTCCCCACGGGTGGTGGTGTTGTTATTGTTATTATTATTATTTTCAGCCCTACGCGTGATACTCGGAGTCGCTTGGTACACTTTTGCCCCTTCGCGAGTTTTGCACCGCGGCGGGGTTCCCGGCCGGCAGCCGCCCCGCGCGCACCGTCGAGGCGAGCGCGGTGCCCGCCGCCCCGGGCCGGCGCTCCGCGGGACTCCCCCCTTCCCCGGGCAGGGAAATGCCGCAAGTCTTCTCCATCACCGCCCGCTCTTAGCCCGGGGCTTGACAGATCACGGCGCAGCCCCGCCACAGGTTGCAAAACGCACCAGCGCTTTCGCGGTTGCGCCGGGGACAGAATGGCAATAATAATGCTTTAATAACAGAAACGGAGAGAAACGGGGGCCGGCGCGGAAAGGCCGGTGCCCGGTGCCGCCGAGCCCCCGCGCTGCCGCCAGCCCCGCTCCGCGGCGGCTTCGTGCGGCGGCGGAACGACAACAGCGACACAACACGCACACACCAGAAAAAAAAAAAAAAATAGAGGGAGGAAAAAAAATAAAAAAAGAAAAAAAAAAGGGCAAAGAAAAATAACACACCCCGAGCGAAGGATCCAGCCATTGAGAGCGGACCCCGAGTCACGCCACAAGCCCGGCGGCCGCCGGCGCTCGCCGCCGTCCTGCGCCCGCCGAGCGGCTGCAGGTGCAGAGAGCAGCCGCCGCCGTCCCCCCGTCCCCACCCGGCCGTCACGCGTGCGGGAAAGCCAATAATCCCAGATAACCGATAATCCCCGGGAGAGGACGGCGAGGGGGGACACTCCCACCCACCCCGCTCCCCTCCCCTCGTACACGCTCCCGGCGTTAAAGACATGCAGGCACCCCTATTTCCCTGGGTTTTTTTTTTCCTCGCCTGACAGCAGGCAAAAGGGGGGGGGGGGTGGGTATGTGAAATAAATAAATAAATAAGGAAAAAAAATTAAATTGAGATGGTAATAATAATAGTATTAAAAAAAAAATAAATAAAGGGCACCTGCAGCGGGAAAGGGGGGGGGGAAGGAATGAGGAGGGAGAGGAAAAAAAAATGGGTAGAAATATATAGAGGCGGCTCCGCGCCAAGCGCCGGAGCGGGGCAGGGAGGGAAAGAGGAGGGAAAAAAAAATGGAGAGAAAAAAAAAAAAAAAAAAAAAAAAAAGCGAGCGAGAGAATTAAAGGGTAAAATCGGCCGCGGCAATAGAAGCAGCAATCACCTGGTCTCCGGGCTTTCCTAGAAACTCCTTGCATCACCACTTCTAAGAACCCCAGTTCTAAGAATCAACAGAGCCCAATTCTCGGAATTTGAGCTGCGGACTCTACCATCGCGCTCGGCATGGGGAGGGCCACGGACCTCCCCCCTCCGCGCCTTCCGCGGCGCCGCGCCGCTCCCGGTGCGCGCTCCCCCCCGGGGAGGCCGACACCGGGCAGAGCGCGGTGGGGGCGCGCACCCCGGGGGGGCCGCGGCGGCGGCGGGGGTCTCACGGTGTCGCCCCCCGTTCATCCCCCTCCCCGTTCCCCCCTTCCAGCAGTGGTCGCGCCCGGCCGGCGGGTCACGTGGCGGCGGGTGCTGTCGGTGACGTGGGGGGCGCGCGGGCGCGGAGCAGCGCGCGCGGCGCGGACCGGACCGAGCGGCGGCGGCGACAGCGACAGCGGCGGGAGAGGAAAACGGGGGGTCCCGGGCACAGCTCCGGGCGGTGCAAACACACATCACACCCCTGCCACCACCAGCCTCCGCTTCTGGCTTTTTTTTGCGCCTCTTACTTATTTTTTTTATATCTCTATATATGTATTTTTAATTATAATTTATCTTTTTTTTATTTATTTACTCTGGGGCGGGGGGGCACTTTTGCGTTTCTAAAGCACCCTCCCCCCCTTAAAAAACATCCCAAAGCAACCAAACAGCCCAGCGAGCAAAGCCAGGAGCCAGCTGCATTGTTCTGGAATTTTGCTTTTTTCCTTTAATTATTTTTTCACTCATTCAGCCTTTTTTTTTTTTTAAATTAAATTTTGCAAACAGCCACACTCGGCTCAGGGCCTCCAATGGGATTTACTCTTGGGGAAAGAAGCTTTTTCCTTAAAGATGGTTCCCCATGAGCTCCCCATATTAATTTTTGGTTTTATTTATTTTTTTTTTTATTTCTTTAAAAACAAACCATTTTGATGATTTTTTTCTTCTTTTATTTTTTTTTTTCCATCCGTGTTCTCTTTTCCTTTCCAGGACACTCAAGTGGTGGGTTAATTCTGTGTAGCTGTTTTGTTATTGTTGCAAAATAACCTGTAAGTCTATAAATATTCTGCTTGTATGGAATTGTTGTACTGTGCTGGGGGATGCAAAATCGCTTCGGCTTTTCTGGAAAGGGATTTTATTTCTGCACTTTTTTTGCGTCTCGCTGGGCAGAGGCCTTTGCCGGGAGGTGGGAGGGGGGAATAATGCGAAGGCTCGCAGTCGGTGTCGCGGGTGGGTTCCGCAGGGCGGGCAAGGAGGGGACCTGTCACCCCAGCCTTCCCCTGTGCAGCCGCAGCTCCGCGGATGGAAATCTGGGCATCCCTGCCCCTGTCCCCCCGCCTCGCCTGTTTCTTTCCTGGGGGCCTGCAGCAAGGCTCGGCTCCGGGGGTGGTTCACATCGCTCATTCCGCTCTCCCGGACGGGTTTTCGGGCTGCGAGCTGCCGGCCGGGCTGGTGGGGAGCGGGGGAAGGCACGCTCCGGGCTGTGAAGGCATTCCCGGGCCCTGGTGATTAATAGAAATTTGTTTACGAGAATAACCACCGCAGGTCACGGTGCCCTCGCTCCACACTGGTGCAGTTGCTCGGAGCTACTGATTCCAGCACTGTGGAGCCCACGGAGCGGCCGCCTCGGACGCGGAGCGCCCGGGTGCTGCCTTTATTTTGATTTCTCAGCTGAGCTCTTGAACCGAAACATTTCAAAGCAAGGAGGTTGGGCGGCCCGGCGGTGGGGGGGTAATAAATTAGGAAGAAAGCCCTTGTGCTAATACGGCTCGTCATTAAAAATAGCCCGGTGGCAAGACAGGGATGGTACTCCCGAGACACTTGAGGTGGTACAGATGTGCTGGAGAGACGGCTTCCCTGTGGGTAAAACGCAGTATGGGATTCCCAGGGAGCGGGTGCAGCCGGAGCCGTGTGGTTTGTGCGGCCCGGGGCAGGGAGAGAGCTCCCGGCTCTGCGAGTGACCGAAGGAGGGACAGACCCGCGAGCAGCAACTCCGTTCCGGGATTTTGATTCGGTTTCATTTTTTTCCTTTTCCCCCAGCACTGAAACCCAAAGGAAGGGGGTGTTGGGGGCGACAGCTCTGTTCTGTTTGTCATTTCTCTGCAGCGTGTGACGCTTTCGCTTTAGCCGGAGCCCAGCGAGCCCCGCGCCCGCGGGACGCCCGGCAGCGGCGGCGGGAGGGCTGCCGCTTGGGGGATTTTTGGTGGAGACCCGAGGTCGAGCACAGCTTCCGTTCAAGTAGCACTCTTACGGGGGAAGATTTCTCACTCCGCCCGGCCACAGCCAAGCCGGGCTTGCATCAGAATTTCCATCCTAACCCGCCTCGTTGCGGGGACATAGGGAGCAGCCAGCAGCATCCCTTTCGGACTGGGAGCTGAGCGGCCTGGGCGCCTTTGCTGAGTTTTTGGCCTTTCTGCTTTGGTGTCATAACTTCTCCTGCTCCCTCGCTGTCACTCAGGGCCCAGCTGCAGCTACCCACGGGCTCTTGCCACCCGCCTCTGCTCCCCACTGCTTCCTGCTGCCCCAAAAGCACCAGCGGTCCCTGTGCTGCCTCGCTGGGGGCTCCAGGGAGCTGGGGATGGAGTCATTTTCCTGGGAGCCCTCTCCCACCACTGGCCAGAGGGATCTTTGCTGAGTGCGGCCTTGACACGCTCTTCCTTTGCCCGTCCCAGCTCTGGGGACAAGCACGGCAGCCGCTGGCAGTGGTGGTGGCTGCCAGGGTGGCAGCGTCCCGGTGGGACAGCTTCCCCTGCCTCCGCAAGTGTTTTCTCTTTGGGGGAGAATGGTGACCCCGTGGTGGGGAGGGTCGCTGGTGGGAGTGTGGAAAGCCACCGGCAGCCCCATGCTGGCTGTGGGACGTTTGTCAGCAGCCCCGGGCTCGGCGTGGCTCCTGCACACCCACGAGGTGCCTGTGTGGCACGTGGAGGAGCTCGGCCCTGCCTGTGGGAGGCTGTGGCAGCCCCGCTGGGGGATCAGCCCCACGCACCCCTCTCCCAAAAACACCCTCTGTGCTGCAGGGAGCTCCTCACCCAGACAAGGGTTTGAACCCCCCAGTGCCACACCGCAAAGTGGTGGCAGTGCTGGAACAGGGCTGGTGCTGCTGCGAAATGGTTCCCCTTGGAGCTGGCAGGGGTATTTTGGTCACGCAGGAGCAGCTCCAAGGAGCAGGAGCAGAGCTGGGCATTGCCACAGGTGCCTCACACCCTCCCACGGACTGTCCCTCTCCAGCTTCTTCATGTCCTCCCCTGGCAAAGCTCCTGGGATGAAAAACAACCCCTCTGCCTGTGTGCTGGCGTGCAGGGCACAGAGCAGTGTGAAATTATTCAGCCATCCCTGGGAGCTGCAGTTGGATGTGGAAGGGCCTCGGGGCTGGAGGTGCTACTTGGCAGTGAGGGGAGTCCCCGGGCTTGGGTCGTTTCCCTCTAGGGGACACAGAGCAGGTTTTTATGGTATATCGAGGCCAGTGCGTATTTTTCCCAGGTGAGCCGCACCCCTGGAAAGAAATGCCTTGTGTTCTACAAAACACTGCTTAAATAAACAGTACCCCACTATAATTTTTTCTTTTGAAATTAACTCCTTCAGGCCATAAGGCTTCCCCATCCTCACACAAAAATAACTGCCAGGACTTTTAAAGGGAAAATAAAAATGTGTCTAAGAGAGAAAAGTTCGGCCTGACAGAAGAGAGCCTGTGAACCTCTCCGCTTCCCCACAGCCCTCGAGGATGGGTTTTAGGAACAGCCTGCCCATTTTGGAGCTGGGTGCCACTGCATGAACGTTACTTAAAAGGAGTTTTGTGCATATTAATGCAAATGCAGCGAGGCCAGGCTGCGCAGGGACAGCCGAGTCCCTGCCTGAATTCAGCTATCTTGTTTTCTAATCTAACCTACTTTTTTTCTTTTGCCTTTTTTTTTTTTTTTGTCAGAGGCCGGTGCTTTGCAGGAACCTGTTCTCAGTGCAATCTCAGAGCTTTTTGTGGGTGTCTGATTTCTGTAACACGTTTTGGTTTCCAGTATGAATGTAATGTACAGAGAACATCATGACACTGCTCTAGGTGTATGTGATCTTATCTACCTGACATTTAAGGTTTTTTTAAACCGTCCAATTCATCTGATTTGCATAAAAATCACATGATTTTAAATTTTTTTCCTCCTTTTTTTTCATGCATCATCATAACAAACTACTAAGGTTTACCAGGCTGTTTTGTGTCTGTCAGCATGAACACGGGGCCCGTTTCTCTCGTCTTCATTCCTCCCTGGTGGTGGTTGGGGATGTGAAAGGTGGCACTTGGAGGGGACTTGTGATCCTGGCCAGCCACTGAGATCCTGAATAAGCAAATGGGTGCAGTTTAACTTCCCAGAAAACAAAGCAGCTGAACATGCATGCCATGCAGTTGTTGTTGATTTAAATAGTTGAGAGTTCTTTTTATTGATAAGGAAACTCCTCTGGAACAGCCCCCCGGATCCCAGCAGGCTCCCCCTGCTGCAGCCGTCCTCATTACAAAACAAGGCCGCAATTAAAATAAACTCCAAGAGCTAAACAAACTGCTGCCTCTCGCTGGTCATGTGTTAGCTTTAGCCTTTTACGCAGAACAAAATGTTTTCCTGGGTATCGGACGAGGCATGGGCTCCGGCTGGGAGGACAAGAGGGAGCAGCAGCTGGGTGTATGGGAATGGCAGGGAGAGGGGTGCTGCAGTGCTCGTCGGGGCTCCCTTCTCTTGCTTTCTTTTTTATTTTTACTTGTTGTAAATTTGAGTGTTTGTGTTCTGATTCGGTCTTCACTGCAAGGGAAAGGGACTGGAAGTGGAAAAACTTGAATGTTGTGGTAAAACCTGGCTGTCCCAGCACGTCCTGGGCACACCTGGCTGTACCTCTCCCTCACCGGTCTGGCTCCCACTGAGCCCACCAGCCACAAGCCCCTGGCCCAACCTGTGTTACTCCTTTTACATCTTGTGCAGAGGCTTTAGGTGGCTGCAGATACCTCTTGGCATCTGTCAGCATCTGGATGGGTACTGGGAAGGGAAGCACAGGGTGCCCTGGAGGACAGGACCAGAGGGATGAGGTCTGGATGGAGGGAGGGACAGCCAGGGGCTCCCTGTGTGTGGAGGGCTGTGTGACTGGCTGGCCCTCAGTGCCTCCATGCCATGCCATGGCTCCCCACACGGCCTGAGAACACATTTTAACTCCGAGCCATGTCCAGACGTCCCGTTTGGGGTAATGAATTGCCTCAGATGAATACTCTGCAAGAAGAGCTGCTCTGATGATGGAGGGATGTGCATCCATGCTGTGTGCACATCAACCCCCAGGATAATATTCTGGCAAAATTGCCCAAATATCTGGCATGTCTGCTTGGTGCTTGCTGCCAGGAGACAGTGTAGACTTGCCTGTCAAAAATTACTTCCTTGCCACATAGGAGCAAGATATCTGCCTGTCTCCTGCCTGATCTCCCAAACTGGCTGAGTGTAAACAGCAGCTCTCGGAAGGTGGGTAAGGACTGTCACCATTCCACTGAGCCCTCACAGCCCCACACCAGTTCTGCCCCATCTTAGATTTAAAAGGGAACCTTCATCCTAAAGTTTTCAAGCTGCAGATAATTACCTCCCACCCCACCCTGGACCCAGCAGATTTTTAACCAGTTATGGACCAAAGCCTTCCATGCCTCAGTGGGGCTGTGCCGGGCAAGAAGCCTCCTGGCAGGGGATGTGCTGGGGGAGCCTTCACCTGATCAGCATCCCCAGCCCAATCCCTTGCTTGTCCCCAAATCTTGTCATCCTGGCACCCACCAAACTGAAGTGTGTGACCAGTGGAAGCTGAATATCCCTGGCCTGTGCTGAGCAGCACTACTGACCTCTTTTCTTTTCAGCAGATCTGTCAGCGTTCAGATGTTACAGTGAAAAAAACCTCACTAACCCCTACAGATATTTCTCTGATTAGGGAGTTGTGCTGAGGTAGTTCAAACCCAATGTGTAAGTTGCATTGTTGGGGAAAAAAGTAATAAAAATAATAAAAGGCAGTGCTTGCTTTGAATGGTTTATAATATTGTTTATTACTCCTATGTCTCAGAGAATCTTGCAGATACCTGATAATAAAAATCAGCAGAGAGACTAAGAAGAAGGACAATGCTTCAAACTTTTAGAGGCACAAGCACATTGCAATTAAGAAAAGGATTTGCATTGACCCTGATCATTTTGAAATAGGCCTCTAAAGTTCAGGCTAAACTAGCCTGGTTTACTTCTGTTTTTCCTCTAATAACTCCTCGGACGTCTCAGCCTGTAGAGTACTGTGTGAATTTCAATTTCTCTCTTCAAATAAAACATCGACGTAATTTTTATATTCTTTGAAATTATCTGTGCAATTTTGTTCACGGAAACTCTTTGATTTAGACTTAAAGGATTTAGTGACTGGATAGGAGGGTATCTGGAAGTAATGGTGAAAATGGTGATTATTTGTTTTACTGCCTTCTGGAATTCTTTTATTTCTCCGTACTATCTCTAAAAGCATGTCTGGCAGTAACAAGCTGTCTCTAAAAAGAATTCAATTAAATGTATTGCCAACAGAATATTTTATAATTTTTATACCAGTAGTTAGAGTGTTAAATAATATATTAGTAGATTTATAGACTACATTTAGGTATGACTATGAATAGCTACAGTAAAAACTCAGAATATTCATGTAAAAAGGGAGGGGAGGAAGTTTGGTTTCTGGGGTTTAAGATTTTTTTTCTCCTCGTCCTTATTTGAGTTTCAGTTTTAGGACTTAAAAAGAATTAGATTTTCACATCTTTTTTCTGTTATTCTCGGATGACAAGAAAAAGTCAGCTATTTTTTAAGACAAAAATTCCCGTGAGATTTCTCCTTGTTTTAAATAATTAAATATTAAAGGAGTAAGAAAGAAGCAGGCAGATCCTACTATATGGACATGAATCAAATGGGATATTTATTTGCATAGGTACATGGCAAATAGGAAAAAATCGATCCCGAAGCTGTATGAAATTGCCAGTTACTCCATTACAGTGTTACAAATAGATTATTGCCCATAAGAACGTAACTCTTAATGTACTAAAAATAATTTAATGCTAGGATTATTTTTATTTAATTTGGTAAATGACAAATATATTTTTGATTCCTATAAAGAAGAAATAAACCATCTCCCAGGAACTGGGAACTAAACCTAGATGCTCCCCCCACCCCTCCTATTTTTTATTGACTTTTTTCCCTTTTTTATTTTTTTTTCTTCTTGTTTTCTTTTTTATTTCCTAAGTCTCATCGGCTCTTCTGAATTTTGCAGTTCATTTCTCATTCCTTCTCCCTCAATAAAAACACTTTTCATCAGAAAACTCGATACTTTTTTCCTTCCGAGCCTCCCTGTGAATTGCCTCTCTCCCTGCAGACAAGTTTCGAGGATCAACAAGTTAACCTTCCCAAAGATTACAAAGGTACAAGTGGGCTGCTTAAGAGGTGAATCATTAAACGTAAGGTGAAGTATACAACTGCAGAAGGTTTCAATTAAAGTGACAGTCGAGGCAGCCTTTGCCTGCCCGGGAAGGTTTGCTTTTATCGTCACAGCCGTGCTGGGAGCTGCGTCCATCCCAGGCAGGGAGCTTTGGTTCCCAGTGTCCATATTCTGCATTCCCAGGTCTGCTGCTGACCCAGTCCTCACTCCTGAAACAGCTCCACCGGTTTCATCGTGATAAATTCTACTGTGAGAGCATTAAAATATGGGAAAGGAGCCAGATCTCCTTTATGTCCCATTCAGGCTGGAATCAAGGAGCGCGCCTCGGAACTGCCTTCACCCAATGCTCCTCATTACCACGTCCTGAGGAAGAGCAGGATCAGGCCCACAGCCTTCCCCATTACTTCCCCAAATCCTGCTCGCTCCTACTTATTTTTATGTTTTTAGAGTAGTTTTGGTTTAATATCACAGTATACTTAATGAGCAGCCCCAGGGCGGAGGGAGAAATGCGAGATCCTTGCCGGATGGTGGAAATCCTGCCCTGCTGCTGCCTTGTCCCCACATCCCTGCATCTGCTCGGCATGGGGCACCCCTGGTCCTCCTGCCAAAAGCCTCACGGGTGCCCAGGGACTGTTTGCCCTGACACAGAGCCTGTGTCCATGCACAGAGGGTAATGCACAGACAACCAGTCCATGGGCAACTGCCCCGCACGGAGGTCCCGCGTGCTTGGAAGCAGAACGTGCAATGCTGGGCTTTTTTTTTCCTGGCTTTTTGGAGTACAGTGAGCACGGTGGTGAGGCAGGAGGTACAAAGGGGTCAGGCTAGATATTGTCCTGAAACGGAGCAATGCTGTGACATTTTTTGGCACTTTGCTGATTTAAATTTTAAGTATTTCTGAGTTTTACGTTTTGCTCTGGCATGTTCCTGTATGGCAGCCCCAAGTGTGGATGATATCCTCTCCACAAGGATGCTCCGGCGATTGGGTTAATTCCCTCCTACTAATTCCTTACATAATCATGTGGGCTCAGATCCTCAAAAGTATTTGTGTGCCTGCCTCCCTTGGAAATCAGAGAGTTTAATTGTCTGCTAAAATTATTGTGTTTTGTTTTGAAAGCAGAGCAGGAAATAACAAACTTGGATTTTATGAGATTTGTTTGCCTCTCTGTGGTCACAGAGCTCTTTTTTTACCTTTGCAAATGAATTTCCTGTTAAATAACGTAGTGCCCAGATTACAGACAGGTTTTTAGACAGTGACCAACAGGAACTTGAGTACCAGCATAGGTTAGGGAAGCTGGGTCTTGGTCTTTTGGTACTTCTGGTCCTGGTTAGTAAAATGTGTGTAGGACAATGGCAGAGTCTTGAAGAAATGCTGGAGGGAAGAATCCATTAAAGCCTGTGAGATGCTGAGATAGGAGGATAATAGAGATCACGTCAGTGAGAGATGCCATCTATTACAGATAACGATTGCACAGCTGACTGCATCTCCCCCTTTGGAAATGGCCCCTTTCTTACTTTCATTTTTGGTTGTACAACCCAAAAGAATTCTTCTCACTCCTTGGCATTTGTCCCCTTCAGATATTTCATGCAATACGGGAGAGGGAGGAATCAAAATTCCATGACATTGAAGTTCATTGCCGATTCTGCTCACGTCAGTTGAAATCAGTCACTAAAACCTCAGCCTGCAGGACCCCGTGCTCTGTATTTTTCTAGTCTAGGTAATCGCGATGGCAGCAGGGGGAGGTAAGTAGAAGGAAAAAAGAACTGATTTCATTAGGTGCTAGAAGAGCTTATTAGAAAACAGGAGGAAAAAAAGCAATAAAATTATGAAGACGGGAATTAAAACAAGTGATGAAATCCAGTCTCTGCTGACTGCAAGGGGACACTTCTCACGCACCCTTTCTTGGTTTGGAAGATGCCCAGGCATTGATAAACATTTTACGAGAATTCAACTCCACAGCAGCAAGCGGCGGCGAATACCAAGAGAAAATATACTCGTGTGCCAGGATCAGCCCAGCAGCTTCAGAGGCAGCGTTTAACCTGCTGCCTCACAGCCTCTGGGCCCTGTTTGGGTTTGTTGTCAGCCAGCAATCTGGATCTGCACTATACCTGGGTTATATTTAGGACAATTAAATTAATTGCTGGAACAGACAACCCTTTTTAGACCCAAGGCACTTTGCCCCCCTTCTCGATACCGTAGGGCTGATGTAGTGATTCTGGGGCTTTGGTTTGGCAGTCAGAGCATGTGTGTGTTTTATGTAAGAAGCAGCAGTGGGGATGGATGCTGCTAGACAAATATTTGGTTAATTTTTGTAATTATTAGTAATAACAATACTCTGCTTTCTCAAGCACCTTTCATGTCTGGGTGCTTTTGAAACACTGGTAAAGCCAAGTGATGCAGCTCCATTCTAGGGGCTGTAATTAGCTTTAGCTCCACTTTGTAGATGTGGAAAGTGGGGTGGGGGGAGGCGAGAGGATTCGAGGTACAGCAGAGTTGGGGGGCAGTGCCCTGAGCAGCAGCCAGCAAGAGCTACCAGCAATAAAACTCAGGCCTCTGCCAGCCTCTTGGTTGACCTGTTCTGAGAGACAAGCTCATCTCACCACACCGTGCTGATATTTGGGCCAGCTCCTGAGCCAGGAGCCTGGACTTTTCCTCCTAGAGGCTCAAATACACTCTGTCCAGGAGGATATCCCTTGGCCACCTGCCCATGTCATCTCCCCTTTTGTCAGAAGTTATGGGACGAGATGGTTTCGTGTAGCTCCTCTTCCTAACCCTCCCCTGTGCCCATGGGATGAGATGGGTCCCTCAATGACCATGAGCAGGAGGGACCTGCTGGGCTTTGGAGCCTGGTCCCCACAGGCCTGGGTTACCACATCCTCTTTGGCCAGGTTGGCTTTTTGCCTCTGCCTGCCTGTCACAAGACCTCTTTCCCCACATGGTTAGGGTGTTTCTTCCAGTTCCCTCCCAATGCTGGTCCCCCACCATGCTTAGGTCAGCTCTGTTCCAGCTCTGCCCTTTTGCTCTGGTCTGCTCTAGATCTCTTGGACATCTGTGTCCAGGCTGTGTTTGTCTTAGTAACAAATGAGTAGCAAACTCAAGAATTTGCAATTGTCCCTTAGGAAACTCAGTATTTCATTCCAAAATGAACCCTCTGAGATTTCAAGGCATGGATTGTGATTTGCATGGGCTCTTCCAGTGTGCACCTTCCTCTAGTAGGGTCGTATCATGTTAGCCAGGATCTAGGCCTACAACAAGGATGGGTAAGTTCTAAATCTAATCTTGAGTAAAAAAAACCAAACAAACAAAACCAAACAACAAAGAATTAATAATCTACCATTTATATTCTATTTTTTTCTCTTCTGTTCCATTCTAATCCATCCCGAATGTGTCTTCCAGCAAGTTCCCTGGTTTAGGCCCTCAGTGCCAGCACAGAGATTCTGGCTGTAATGCTGAAATTAGTTGAGCCCAGCAGATCATCAAAGCTTCAACCCAACACAAGGATTCAATCACCTAAGTATATTTTCAGCTCCCAACTGACCTGGTGCTTCTCTCTGTTATTATCCATGCACAATCTCTCCTGCTGTGCCAAGATTCTTGTGTTCTTCATTTCTCTTCCGTCTCCGATGCCACAAAGTCAAGTGAATGTCTTCAAGGAAATCTCGGTAATAAAACCTATTTCCTCTTCCCAGCTGCAAAGAGAAAGCAGGGTAATAGTTTCTTTATCCATCAGGGACCGGTTAATGCCTCACTCCTCATCATCACCAAATGCAACTAATAAAGGAGTAAAGGAGATTTGGCAGTTTAATGCAGCAGCTAATTTTGTGCCTGCTGCCCTGCCAGAAAGTATTTTCACTTTTGGGTGATGCCAGAACAGCAGAGCTGATTAATTAGCCTTCTCTTGAGCAGGAAGAGCTCAGCTGAGATGCCTGAAGCCCCCAGACATCCCAGGCACTGGCCAACCTTGTGAGTAGCCGGCGTTCCCAGTATCTCAAGGGTTCATCGGTCTGCCTGTCTGGGTAGGGCAAAAAGACGACAGCGCAGGGCTTTCCCTCGGGAGGGAGCAGGTCTGTCACACAGGTCAGGTCGAGCTCTGAGACAGGGAGAACTGGCTGGAGAATGCTCAGAGCATGGAGGCGCTGGCACAGCACCCTGGACGTGGTGGCTCGCAGTGGGTCACTGCAGAGCCCAGTGCTGCCGTGCAGGGAGGCACTGCACAGACTTCCGAGTCCCTCTGCAGATGTGGCTTTGGAGGGGTCACCACTGCAGCTGTTGCACACAGGCGTGGAGTTCCATGGAAAACAGTGCTCAAGAATAGTAAATATGTTTGTGAAATGAGCAGAAATGCAAAACAAAGAAACTGCAGCCTTGACAGGGAGTCTCTCAGCAGAGACATTCAGACTCGTTCATTGACTGAGAACAATCAAATACACAGAAAACACAAGCCACGTGTGAGGACACCCTCCAGAGCAGCATGAACTCCACAAGACTGCAACAAGCAGAGCTCCTGTGCCAGCTAAGTAGTGCTCTCCATGGGTCATTAACACCTCCTGAGCTCTCCCTGTCCTGCCTTCATCTTCCAGGAGGTGTTTCAGTACAGCTTAAGCCAATGGACAGATTAATTAAATTTGAGGACAGGAACAGGCAGTTTCTGCAGGGGCTGGTCATTTTCCTTTCCATGTAATTTCTCAGAGGTTTTATGGTAATGCCTGTAAGAGTTTGCAAGACCAGGAACTCGATGAGTGTGTTCACAGACAGAGAAACTTCAAGCACATGAGATGTGTAGAATCCAGCAAAACAAGTCCTTTGTTCTTGGTTGGGTCCTCTT